ATGACAGGCTGAGCAAAAAATCACCATGCTCTTTCAATGTATGCAAAACAGCTTGAATGTTCTTTAAAAGATCTGACATAAGTGTGAGCAAATGAGTGCTATTCTATTTCTTTCTTTAAGCAGAAGATCTGCTGAGCTTCAATCCCAAGCCGGAATGTTCTGAGCATGGAGACCCGGAGAAGCACAGAGACAGATAACATCCTGAAACTGACGGCCCAGAATGAGGTTGCTGCCGCTTGCAATAAAGATGATGGAGAGCAGAACAAACAGGAATAAAAAAAGATGAGTATTGCTTTTGGTTAAGTGTATCTGATTTTGATCTAGTTACCTTTTCAGTAACAGTACACTCATCCTTCTCTGATAAGTAAAATAATCTAATCTTAAATTCTGGTTTGTGGCTACCTTTCTGCTGTCATTGATGAAAGCACCTTTACAATATTGGATCTTATTGGATGTGGTTGTCAGATGAAAGGTCATAGCACAATAAATGGGCTGAATTAAGCTGGCTAGATAGGATGCACCTGCTTTTTTGGGGCATCCATTTCTGTGCAGATGGATTTTATGATACAAGTGAATATAAAATACAGTTCTCAACAGATGAGAGGAAACCGTTATATGGGGGAATCTTATGAAACCCTTTAAGTTTTCTGCTCATCACCGCCATAAGAAAATCTCACCAATTTTTATTACCATGATGCATTACTGTAATGGGAGAAAAAGAAACATATTTTAAATAGTAAAATATTTATTCATCAGTATTGTGTTTTTTTGTTTTGTTATATTTGTTGCACTGCCTTTTATTTATGCTTTTTTAAATATTCATATTACAATATTTAAAACATTTCTTATGCTTAATATCTCATTAATATGACATTTTAAATACAAATATAATTGATTTTAGGGATAAATATGACATGTTTTTGTGATTCAATCATCACTCTTTTTAAAAAGTGTGTGTATATATCTATTACATTTGATGTTTCCCTCATAAAAAAAAATAAGTTTTCTTCATCTCAGTGGCATGGGATTTTGTGACTTTTGTTACATTATCTATCTAAAAACACACAAAAACTGAGCTTGATTTGATTGTTCTGAAGGTAAAATAAATAAATAAACAACAAAAAAACTACTAAAAATGAGTTTTTAAAAATAAAATCCATAAATCCAGCATAATTCTGAAAACTTTCAAACCGAAACGAAAGGCCTGGTATTAGAGCACAAATGCAATGTGAAACAAATATGTTCACTCACACACACACATGAGGTGTGACTGCCACAGACAGCATTTGTAGAGTTTAGCAAAAATAAAAATAAGCCACAAATGTAGATATGAAGGGGTGAGACCAGACACACACACACACACACACACACACACGAAAACAGGCGCACAGTCACACATCTTTGTGGGTACTCTCCATAGGCGTAATGGTTTTTATACTGTACAAACTGTATATTCTGTCCCCTTACACTGCCCCTATCCCTAAACCTACCCATCACAAAAAACTTTCTGCATTTTTACATTTTCAAAAAACATTACTTAGTATGATTTATACGCTGTTTTCCTCATGGGGACCGCTGGCTAGTCCCCACAATGTAGGTGATTTCAGGTTTTACTATACTTGTGGGGTCATTTGGTCCCCACAATGTAATATAATTATGAACACACACACACACACACACACACACACACACACACACACACACACACACACACACACTCCTGTTAATTTCTGCTTATTGCTATTGGTTTTATTTTCATATTTTTAAATATATATTTTTTTTATATAAATAATTTGTGAATACAATCTGACCCTTATGTTTATGTGGCATTATTGCTAAAACAGACACCTCAAAAAAACACATCACAGATATATACACAAAATATGTAAAAAAGAAAAAAGGTTGTGATAGGAGCAGTTGGCCACATCCAGAAAAATTAATGGATCTCTAAGGTCCTTTGCTGGAAAAATATATGGTCAAAACTTTATTTCTAAAACTGTAATTCCTACAGTTTTTCTTATAACCAGCAGGTGGCAGAATTCTGCTTATAACACCTAGATTCATATCCAGAAACAACTTTTTAGATCATCATTAAAAAAAAAGTTCCCCCCAGAAATAATTAATCAAGCAAATTTCAAATGCAAGCTGATGATGTAGTTGAGCAATTTTGTGGTAAATAGGATCACATATCCCCACAATCACAGCATAAATGTATAGTACATAAAAAATATATATCTTTTGTATTAAAATATGTTTTTTTTATTTTTATACAATCACTCTGTAAGTGCATGTGTGATCCCAAAGACCATGAGTGTAAAGGGGAAATGAAGAGAATATAGATAAATTCTTTATACCATTGCAAAAAATTCCAGGTCTTATCTTTTAAATAATTTTGAAATAAGCACTGGCAAGTTCCAATATTGTTAATTATAGCTCTTTAAAATGCTTTTAAATGAAAAATGAAAAACAGACACAAAGAAAATAGTTTCAAGCTCATGCATTCTGAAGTTTGCACCATAAGGCATTTAATAAATCAGAGTGTCCATCAGACACTGGATTAAAAACACTGGGGTGGTGTTTATAAAATGCTCTTCTACAATAACATATCTCATGTGCCGTTCATATTCATAAACATACCATATAGCTTACTTAAACATCCGCGCACAATAGCAAGAGTGACTGTCGTCCCTTATTCTTAGCCAAGAAGAGCCGCTCTCATCAAAACCTCAGAGACTGAAGGGTCAAAGGCTAAATAGACTGTATACTCAATTTCTATGTATTTATTTGAACGGTTTGTATTATTATTTTGATTTATTTTAAATTTGAGTATAGTCTGGACACTGCGATGTTTCTTTCTTTCATAAAAATGTAATCATTGGTTTCACATTGTACTTGGTTTATAAACCATTATGTTAATAATATAACTACATATTTTATGGAACAATATAGATATTTAACATATAAATATTTAAGTTTATCCCCCGGTTTCACAGACACGGCCTTAGCCTAATCCTAGACTAAAATGCATGTTTGAGCTTTTTTAACTGAAAGCAACTTACACTTATATGTCTTAAACTATGTCACTACCATTGTTTTGTCTCAAGATGCACGCCAGTAATGTGTTTCTTTCTAAGGCACGTATTTAAAAGCTACTTAGATGGCCTAATCCTGGTTTAATCTAATCATTGTCTGTGAAACCAGGCCTATAAGTAGTATATATACTGTGTGTGTATAATATACATATATTACACTGAAATGTAATAGTTAAGATCAGGGGTTCCAGTCCCTAAATGCAAGTATGAGCAATATTAATGATTTGTCTTCTGAAAGCTGAACTCTCTATGAGTAGTAAGTAGGAAGAAAGTGTTGGGTATCGAAAGTGCAAGAGATAAATTTGTGCATGTGTGTGTGGGTGGAGGGATGAGGGTGTGCTTGTGGTTTTTTACTCTGTACACTATTGACCTTCCTTAGCTTCTATTTCAAAACTATGGGGAACAAATAGACTTAAAAGCGTTAATCAAATACTTTCTTCTTTATATAAATGCACATGTGAGTAATGATCAACGTTAGAGAGTCTTGGCCAGTGTTTGTTGTGAAGTTACTGAAATGTTCTCTAGGGACTGGACATATTTCACATTTTACCCTGCAACACAAACCACCAGGACAGTTCAATTTGTCTTTAAATCTCTTGTTTACAGTTACTTTGTGATTTTTTGCCTTTTGTCTTGTGGGTCATACAGACAGTATGCAAACACACAATATTCAAAAGACTTTCTCTAGACTCAGTGTATCATTTAACATTTCCCTAACCGTGATGAATTCAATGTTAGTGCATTTGGCAGCGGAAGGACAGTTTCTGGGAACGAGTGTATTAGTAAAGGGTCTCTGAAAAAACACTCTTATCTCAGTCACAAAAATAGCTGACCACATCTATGATCACATCTTAAACCATTGGTCCATTTAAAGTTCTCATATTTGTTCATTTATTTACTTTATGACGTCGAATGTATGTCTAATTGTAAATGCTTTATCTCAGTGAGAAATGTTTAGATTATGAATGTATGCTTACTGTCCTTAATGTCCTTAATTTGTAATGATAGAGATAGATAGATAGATAGATAGATAGATAGATAGATAGATAGATAGATAGATAGATAGATAGATAGATAGATAGATAGATAATTTTATGAACAGATAAAATACATTTTATAAAGTGAAACCAGTGCTTTGTTTGGGCAAAATCATAATTTTCCACTTTATTTACAAAAATAATAATTGCGCGTTCACACAACGTCTACTCTCACGTCAACACAAAACTCATGCATTGTGGTGCTCTCATGAACGTGTGTTGGAGAATAATATTTTGTTAATAAAGTGGTAAATTATGTTTTTTTTTGCACAAACAAAGCACTGGCTTCGCTTCTTAAAATTGAAGTTAAACCACTGGAGTCACATGGATTACTTTCATAATGGTAGTGGTAGTTGCGTAGCTGATATAACATTAAACCAACCAACCCTTTAATGTTATTTTATTTAGTTTTCTTTTTTTTTTTGTACAAAATTAAGAATGTGCTATAATATCATTCCGTAAATTCATAAACACATTTTTACAACATAAAACATTATTAACTGGTTTGTAGCTTTCAACATATTTTTACTGATGTTTCCATCAGTATGACAAGTAATGTTTGTTATCTTGGTGACAAATCAGCACAATTTGCAACAACAACGTAGAACACATCACAGAAAACCTTTTAAGTTTGAACATTTAAGTTTGCAAGGCATAAAAATAAATGTACAACTTGAAATGTAAGATTTTCAGTGGCAACACAAAACTCTCCGTCGTACATCCCGGGTCAAAATGACAAACTTATTGTTGAGCCTGGGATAAATAGATGTGATTACTAAGTAATAGAGTGTTTTGTTCTTTTACAATACAGTTCAAAAGTTTGGGGTCTGTAAGAAAAAAATAAAAATGTATTCTGGAAGGACACAAGTGGACAGTAAAGACATTTATAATGTTACAAAAAATGTTTGCATTTCAAATAAATGCTGTTCTTTTGGACTTTCTACTCATCAAAGAATCCTGATTTTTTTTTTTTATCATGGTTTCAAAATATTAAGCAGCACAACTGTTTTCAACATTGATAATAACAATGTTTCTTGAGCAGCAAATCAGCTTATTAGAATGATTTCTGAAGGATCATGTGACACTGAAGTCATCACCGGAATAAATTACATTTTAAAATCTATTCACATAGAAAACAGTTCTTTTAAATTGTAATAATATTTCACATTATTACTGTTTTTACTGTGTTTTTGTTCAAATAAACGTAGCCTTTTTGAGCATGAGAGATCTTACCGACCCCAAACTTTTAAACAGTAGTTTATATAAAGTATTTAATGGATGACAGAACCTTCATTTACACATTCAATTGAAACATCCTATGACTCGTTGTCCACTCGTCAAAGCGCAATATCCCTGTTGTTCTGTCCTCCTCTCCAGCGGTTTCTCAGTTTGCGCATCACCATGCGGATGGGCTCAGTGTACTGCTTGTTGGCCAGTCCCAGTATCAGGGGGATGACGGCCATGCTCCCGATTCCCGTACAGGACATGATGATGTACAGAGAGGAGCTTGGCAAGCTCACCCCGCTCTGCAGAGCCGTCACGGACATGAGTTGGTAGATGATATACGGCACCCAGCAGACCAAGAACGTGAGGGACACGGCGGCCACGCATTTGGCGTAGCGCAGGTTAAGCTGCTGCTCGTGGTCCGTCAGCTGCTGCTGCTGAAGACGGTCCACGGCCCGGTGGAGCTTGCAGATTTTCTGCAGCTGCTTGTGTGCGATCCACAACACCCGTCCCATCATGCCCACGATGGACAGCATGGCCGGCAGAACCAGTCCGCACACTTCCAGATAAATGAAGGCCTTGGGAAAAACCTGTTTGTAGGAGCAAACCTCATCCTCTCTGGAAGTGTTACCAACTGTGGTTGATCTCAATAGCGTCTCGTTTGGGTTGGAGCTCTTGTTGGCATTGGGTTCCACCCAATTATTCCATCCAAAAGCAGGGAGGGATGCGTATAGCAATGGCGGGAGCCAAACTGTTAATAAGGCCAAGGGAAAGCAGCGGTGAACCCAGAACTGGCTGTGGTGGAGCGGGCTGACGATGCACAGGTAGCGCTCATAATGCACCATCACCAGATTGAAGAGGAACGACAAGAACAGAAAGTTGGGGAAGATGTACATCACCAAACAATGCTTGAAGTCCAGATGCCGGTCGAGTGTCATGCGGGGAATGAAAGGCAGGGTGATGCCGGTGCACAAGTCGGCCACCAGCAGACTCAAGAAGAAGTAGTTTGGGGTGTTGTGCAGCTGCCGGTTGCAGGCGATGCCTATGATAATGAAGAGGTTGGAGAAGATGATGATTGAAGAGAGTGGAACTGTCAGATAGAAGATCAGTTTCTCTCTGCTCAGCTTGTCGAATGGATCCATGATGGAGAGCTGTTCCCCACTGGACTAAACCAGACTAAACCTTCTCCATCCACTGAGAGAGTCCTGAAAACAAGTAAAATATAGTAAACAGGTCTTGCCTATTCTATCCGTTCAGTTGCTTGGACACGTAATCATTCATCTCAGTGCTACCGGTTTGGTTTACTTCCCTTTTATATGAGAGTTAACATCTGACCCTCCTGAAATGAATTAAAGGAATAGGTCACACAAAAAATGAAAACTCTCATGGTTAACTCACCTCCATTTCATTTCAAATTCATATGCTTTTATTTATTTCTGTGGAACAGTGTTTTTTTTATGTCATTACTGCACCATTTTTAAATCAATAGTCTGAATTAGTCTTTATTTTTATATTTTCATTTTAAAGGTTTAGTAATTGTGTTGTTTGTCTTTTTTATTTTTATATTTCAATTTAGTTTTTAGTAATTCTTGTTTTAGCTTTAGTAATTTTAGTACAGTTTAGGTTTTTAATATTCTCTATTACTTATGTTAACGTTTAATTTATTCCAATTAAAGGTGCTCTATGTAGCTTTTCTTCTAAAATGAATCCTTTTTTTATTGCCTGTGTGTGAAGGGGTTGTAATCACACATTACAATGATCCACTTGTCGGGTTTTGCTATTACCTCTGAAGGCCAATATTCATATTTATATGTGAAGTCTCCGGGTCGGATTTACCGCGAATTCCAACGGATGTGACGTGCATGCGCGCTCCCGAGCCTCTCTCCTTATATACAGTCTATGCGACAGCACTATAGATAACGACATGCAGTCTGATAACACCCCAAAACGACCTGCCTCCAGCACAACACAAACTCCACAAATATATAAAAAACAAAAAAAAGTTTTATCTGCTGAAGCGCTCGTCAGGCCAAACGTGATTCTGATCGACTCAGGACGAAAACACGGATCAACATCGGCAGAGCTTTTGAATTAGTAAACTCTAATGAAATAGCAAGGTAAACTAAATGAGACATGTAATGAATACAAAAGACTGTTCCAGGATAAGAAAAAGTAGGTGCTTTAGGATGTATACTTGTTTTATGTACTAGATACTGTCTAACGTCACTCATCCCACTACTATCATATTGTTTATAATAAACATTTCCAGACACGTTCAGTACAGTAATGTTACTTCCTACTGTCTTACTGTTACACTGACATTGTAGTCAGTCTAGTTCACCGTTTTCGTTATCATATTGTACATTCACCTATGTTGACATTGCTGATTGTGAAAGATACACGAATAGTTAGTGAAATGCCTTATGCTAGATAACATCACATGTCGGCTAAATGCAGTCAATGTAATGTTATCATGGTACGAGCATGGAGCATTAGTTCAACGTCAAGCTGATAAAAGTAGCCTATTATTGTAACGTTGCAGTGGGAGTTTACTTGAGTTTCCAGCATGTGGTGTGATGCTTTCGCCGTTGCATTGAAAGTCTCCGTGTGGCCGGTAGTGAATGCTCGCTCTTGAGATCGCACACGCACACGAGCACGAGCGCTCTTGTTGCAATCTGAAACATCACCACTAGAGGCCGCTAAAAAATACATAGAGCACCTTTAACGTAAATGTTTTACAGTAGTTAACAATAACAACACTGCATCCTGGCCAAATTTGCCCATTGGCCTCTATCCATCATGGCCTCCTGATCATCCCCATATACTGATTGGCTTCATCACTGTCTCCTCTCCACCAGTAAGCTGGTGTGTGGTGGGCGTTCTGGAGCAATATGGCTGCCGTCGCATCATCCATATGAATGCTGCACATTGGTGGTGGTCCATATGTAAAAGCACTTTGAGTACCTTGAAAAGCGCTATTTAAATGTAACAGATTATTACTTATTATTATTGTTGTAGAACACAAAAATAAATCTTCCCACAACTCTTTCCAATGTATGAGTTTGTGAGATCTTTCTCATCGCCAGCGAAGCTGGGAAATAGCTTATTATGGGTTTGGAACTATATGAGGGTCATTAAAGAATTTTCATGCCTTTAACATCTGATCAGTTTCAATATCTTTTTTAGTATTTGACCTTTCCACTGGTCAAAACATCTAGTAAATCGGATGTTTCATTATCATGATGTACAGTTATCACTCAAAATGACTCTACTTCTAATGCTGGAGTTGATGCTGTAAAGACCGAATGCAGATAAAAACCACAACCAAAGTTGCATGACCCCAAAGTATTAGAGAGAACATGTTAACCTTTTTGTAGGTCATAAAAGTTAGTGCTGCACAATTGCATCCGGCTAATGTTTAAATATTCATATAGGTTCATGTTTCCAGTTGTATTAAACAATGGTGGCATGACCGCTATCAAATGTCCATCACTTGCACCAAGGAAACTTTCCTTCTCATTCAAGGTGTAAATGCACTGAAGTTCAGTGATGCTTTCTGTTGAATTTGATCTTTAATTGTACTTTTCCCTTGAAGATAATGATTCACTCACTAGAAATCAGCACAAACAATATAATCATATTACATTAATAACAATTACAGATATAAAAATGAAATAATACAAATAGTAAGCCATTCTGATTTTTTTACTCAAATTATTATGTTGATAATGTAGTTTTTTTTAGGGATGCACAGATATGAAAAATTTGGCCGATACTGAAAATTTTATATTTAAAAGCCAAATATAAATCCAAATTTATGTAATTTTTGAGAGCCTGGTTAAAAAAAACAAAAGTTTCACCATTAAAAGCCATGTCCCAAGCACATAATTATAATGTTCTCATTATCATTTTTTTATAGCCTATCACAGACTTGTGCTGCACATGTTGCACTTCACAGTATTTTCTTTTTTGAAGTGATCCCAATCATATTTCAAGCAATTCAAAACCATCATGGTGAACAGTGCGCATCTGAATTGTCTTAGCTGAGGGAAATCATTTATTATTTATCAGCTTTAATATATCGGCCGCATTTTCTTATCGGCCCGACAACGATAACATTAAAAAAAGAACATATATCAGCCGATACCGATATGGTGCCCGATATATCGTGAATCCCTAGTAATTTGTAATGCAAAATTTTCTTTTGAATAAAAAAAGCAATTTAAGTAGTGAAATCAGACTTTTGTTTCCCAGTGCACTTGAAATGAGGCAGTGAAACTAAAAGAAACATGTCTTTCAAATACTTACCTCACAAATAATGTTAATCTTCATACAGTAGACTTGCATGAGATGTTCCAGCCATGTGTGAATCAGTGATCCTGTGAGGTTCTCTCACATGTGAACTCTTCTGTGTTCCTCTCCTCTCACCAGCATTTGCGGACGGAGATCTGAGTTGTTCACAGTAGTCAGCAGGATGCTTCTTAAAGAGACAGTGACCTCATTCTGACTTCGGCCGTGAAGCATCACAAGAGAGGTATTTCAACTCAGGAAGCAACAGTTTACACTCGATTTATGAGATAGATGTGGGAGGCATGGAAACATGCGATGCTGATATCTAATTGTATATTTCTATCATAAAAATAGTTTAATTACATTGAAGGGGTAGTTTGTACAACTAGTAAACTAAAAAGAGAGTGTTGCACAACATTTGTACTATTACTTTGCAGTAGAATATACTCTAACATTTAAGTGTTTTTTTTTTAATGAAATTAATTTGTTAGTTCATACAAAAAGGAAAATTTTGTCATTTACTCATCCTTATGTCATTCCAACCCCTGTAATTTCTTTTTTTTCTTCTGTGAAACACAAAATGAGTTGTTAGGAAAAATGAACGAGCTGTTCTTTTAACTAGGTTATTGTTTACTTGTTCTGTGACATGCAAAAAGGATGCAATTGCTTTCAGTGACTTGAAACATTTCAGATTAATTTTAACAAAACAACATTAGGCTGAGAAAAAGATGACAAAATTTGAAATGCTTGAAATGCTTTAGACCTTAGATACATCCAAACATTCTTTACTTACTGTACATAGTCTGCAATGTCTCTACTGTAGCAGTGATTAGGGTTGGGTATCGGTTGGGTTTTATCCAATACCAGTACCTACTCGGTATTTTTTAAACGGTTCCGGTGCTTAAACGGTTCTTGAAACGGTACTTAAGAAAACGAAACCGCACACACTTTATCAAAAAGTAATACCCTTTTATTTACAGGGCCAAACTGGACACAATATTAACTTAAATCTTTAAACAATATAAATACATACAAGTAACATATGGTAATAATAAAACCAATATAAAATATAAATTTTTACATTACATTTTACACATTTACATACTATCAAATAAAACAATATTGTATCAAACAATGTAATAATACTGGAGATTAATAGAGATTAGCTACTAGCAGAGCTGCCAACTCTCACGCACGCAGAGAAAAATCGCGGACAAAGAGGACATCGACAGACAAGACAGAGAAGGTTACTTTTGATATGGAACAAATCCACAGCTGTCAGATTCTGTCAATATTTTTACGAGATTCACACAATAAATAACGTTTTGGCTCTTTGAAATGTGACAGATCGCTGTAGCGCGTCAGTTCAAACGGCACGTGATACAGCAGCCTACAAATACAAATCCACTCCTTTTTAGCTAGGCAGCGTTGAGTGAACCTATGAAAGAGAACATCTCTGGTTACTGGTGTTGTGTAACATATGTTCTCTCAATAGGGAACGAGACGCTGCCAAGCTCCTCGCGCTGCCGACCAGCTTCCTTTTTCGACAGAGAAATCTGAGGAGCAGATCCAACATAATATGTCGACGTAAGTGCGTCGAGGCGGCGCCCGCGCCATCAGCCAATGAATTGGCTTGATTCTATATGGATTCAGACTATCGGCACACCCAGAGGGCGTTCTGACGCGTAATTTTACACGTGAAATGCAGCCAAACCTTGCGAGCAAGAGCGCGCTTGCGAGACAGAAGAGAGTGTGCGTGTGTGTGTGTGTGTGTGTGTGTGTGCCTAATTAAGTCAGGCACCGAAATCAGGCACCGAAATTGTCCTTCTTATTCGGTCTGTTTACTACCGTTTACGTCGGAACCGGTTCCCTATTGGCACCGAGTTTCGGTACCCAACCCTAGCAGTGATGCTTGTGAACAACATTCAGTTTGCTGAGAAAAAGCAGGCGGGCGGCAGTCAGGCTTGCTTTGCCTGGTGCCACAGCAAACACATCTATCAGCCTCTGTGTCATTTTCCGAAGGTTCCCCTCGGATGGCCTCATCCCTGAGATACGCAGCGTCACAAGTGCAGAAACACACAAACGCATACAGACCTAGGAAAAACACATAAAAAGAAATGCCTGTGTTACGTAATTAAATGCGCATTGTGAGATGATGAGGGACAGGAAATGGACACTTGGACATTCTGTGGCTGTTTTCCTGAGTGGTCAGAAGTGAAACCGTTATGGATGGAAGACATCGCTCATCTGATGTCAGAGTTTTCCAGAGACCTGGACAGAAAGAGTTATGGCCTCATAACAAACGGTTTCCAAACGTGCATGATTGTTGGAAGTATATTTTTGGCCATGTGAGAACCATGTGTATAGCTCTTAAAGTGATAGTTCACCCAAAAATTTAAATACAAAAGATAGTTTGAATACAGGTTTGGAATGACATGATGGTGAGTAAATGAAACTATCCTTTTGAAAGGTTATTTGTAAATAGATATTTTTTTATTAAATTGTGCTTGTCCGTGGCAAACTTACACTCACAATTTAAAATACTATGTTTAAAAAATTAAATAATGCATTCTACAGAGCCCCTATAGGGACATGGTGATGGAAAAAACATGAAGGGAGGAACAAATTTAAATTGCATACTCTTGCAGTTATACAGTTGGGTTATTTTATTGTATATAATTTGCGGGTATCAGGGAGCCCCTATCAATACGTTTTTTGAATGCACGCTCGCTTTTCACTTCTCTTTCCAATTCATGTTCACACGTATACTCTGTGTAGGGAGCGGCGGTACTGACCACACACTTTACAAGATAAGATATTTGTCAATGATGTTGTAGTTGAAGAGTAGTTAGGACTAGAAGTGAGGAGATGGGGTGGTGGAGAGATGCTGTTAAACTGTCAACGAACGGAGGTGTCTTCTTAATCTCTTAACTCCTCTCATGTTTAATTAGCAGTGTTGGGGAAGCTACTTTGAAACTGTAGTTTGACAAGCTACAAGCTACTCGTTAGTTAAAGTAGTTAAACTACAGTCAAGCTACCCTTTTGGAAAAGTAGTTAGCTGCACTACAAGTTACGATCAAAAAGTAGCTAGCTACATTGAAACTACTTTTGCTTTTTTTTTAACAACATATTATAAATAACTGAATAAGTGTCTGAGGAATGTTTTAAGTAAAATATTTAGTGTTTAAAACAATGCAATACAATTATGGTTTTTATTGTTTTATTACACACAACACTCAAATATCTCAGACTGTTTGTCAAAAGTGCAAAATTGCAACAAATACAACATTGCAAGAACAAAATAGGCCTATACATCCAACGTAAATTGCATGTAGACTTTTTCTCAAAAATACCGATTGTGATTGTGAGATGGTTGCATTTTGGCAAGAAAATACATTGAACAACAGGTCACATGTGGCACTGACAATGCACGTTAAACTCGCTCACATGCAGTGATGGAGCTCGCAGAATTTACTGTGAAAGAAGAACCTGAATCACAAGCTGCTTGTGAGCACAGTTCGGTTCGCTCCGGATCCAGTCACAACAAATCTATACAGCAATTTAATTAGATCAAAGCCTTTGTCGTGCGATAAACAAACTAAGATTACATTTTTTGTTCAACTGAAACACGATGGCGCAAACTTTAGTTTAGTGGTCTTTTATGTTCATTACCAAACGCGGACAGATCATGGCGGTTCATTGTAATTAAATCAGAAATAGAAATTTGATGTAACATAGAGAGCAATAAAGCAGGATAATTAATACATTTTAAAATGGCCATTAATCACCTGTATGTGCGTCCTTAAATTTGTGCTTGAGGTCTTCTGTACGTCAGTGAACCGTTAGCCGCAAGTTGCGTGAATAAACAACAGGTGGCGGTAATGGCAAAACAAATTAGTTTGTAATCTAACAAGAAGAAGAATATCCTTGCATCGCGCTGATTCCAAGGGGGTAATCCATCGACCGGAAGTTGAAGCCGGCCGGGTGCCGCCATGTGGTGGTGGTTGAGGAGATTCCCCCTTCTATGTCAAGCGCTTTGAGTGCCAAGAAAAGCGCTATATAAATGTAATGAATTATTATTTAATTATTATTATTATTATCATGTTGTAGCAGAACTTCACTTGCGTTAGCATTTCCATTGACTCCCATTCATTTTTGCGTCACTTTGACAGCGAATAACTTTACATCTGAGGCGTTTAAAGACTCCATTTGTCCATTATTTATTTCTAAAGAAACACGACAATGTATAAAGGGCTCCATTACCTTCTATGTTACACTATGGCCCCGTAGAAACAGATTTAGTAAAAATAGGCTAACGATTGCGTCATAACCACTCGACTCTCTGTCGCGCTGTACAGAAGTTACCGTACAGACAGGAGGAGAAGCTCGCAGGCAATCGGGGGGACGTCCCGTCAAGGGAGAAGCCCATAGATAATGAGTCCATAAAAGCAACGGAATACTTACTCCCGCTCACTCACGCCAAAGAACTCTTTGCTCAAGTTCCCCGTCTCTGCAAGATTAACGTTGGCAGTTTTCACGCACAGCTACTAGAAGATTAACGTCTGTCAGACAGGTTGCTCACGTCATCAAGCTTAGTTTGAGTCGGTCTGAGTCTGCGCGTCAGGAACGGAAGTGCTCAAAAATCGCTAAAAGTGGGCTTCAACTGTCTCAACTGAGTTCCAATGAGATCGCTCTGTCCATTTCTTTTACTGTCTATGGCTGATTCGCGCAGGCTCAACAAAACACAATGTAGCTTTTGCTCGCGCTACACCGCTACTTGCTGCTAAAAGTAGTTAGCTACTGGAAAAGCTACACTGTTTAAAAAGCAACTGAGCTACTGCCAAGCTACTGAAAAATGTAGTTAAGTTAGTAGCGTCGCTACTTGTAGTTAACTACTCCCCAACACTGTTAATTAGGTTTAATTATCTGAACGTGATCCTCCCGAACTTTAATAAAACATAATTTAGGGTAGAATCCGTTATTCATTTTCCATACCTTTCCGAATTCAGATGATGTGTTTACTGGCGTGAGGGCGGGACAACCTGTCACTCACATGATATCAACCAATTGCAAACCACAACATTCCAATCGATTCCTGATGGACAAAATCAAGTCCCGTTTTTCTTCTTGGAGAAGCCATTTCTCTTGGATACACGTAACTATAGGGAAGAAAAGACAATCGCAACTTCCGTTTCATGTCTACTTTCATATTTTTGTGGAAACGTAACTCTTTTTTTCATGATTCTTGGATGAATAGAAAGTTCTAAAGAACAGCATTTATTTGAAAGTAGTTAACATTTATATATATAAAAATATTTCTTCAGACAAGTTGGACAACGCAGAGTTACCGTGTGTGTTTGGCCTCAGAAACGCCAGGAGCACAAAGGTTGTTGATCTCATCTCATAAAGCCTATTTTTCTTCCCAGTAGCTTTTTCAGTGGACCTCTATAGTAAATATACGCCCAGGAGCTATAAAATGAGAAAAATGTTTAACTACAAATTTTATACATGCCAAATGCCTCAGTGACAAGCATTAAGAGCAGGAAATAGGGTAAAGGCCAAGCACTTCACGGCAGCCAAATGACTTTACCATGGCTTTTTGACAAACACAAAACAGTAATTACTATAAAAAACCCATCAGACAAAATATTCACGAGTGCAGAAACAATATATCCTACCGTTGTCTTAAAAATCACATGTTGGCAGTGTGTACACCGTATGCTTCAATTATTTGTTTACAAGATACTACACTGTAATGTCTGTTTGTAGTGGGCTGCACTTCCCTGTATTGCATGTGAATGCGTATTGCGTGTGTAGATGGTTGTTTGCTGGAAGTCACACAAGTTATAGAATTAACCCCCATTTTCTGATAATGATATCACATCTGTGATTTAAGCCGCGTTTCCACCGCAATTGCCCGGAACAATTTGTCCCAGGAACTTTTTTCCCAGGAACTTTTTTTGCCCCAGACCGGTAACTTTCTGCGTTTACATCGCGGTCTAAAGTACCGGGTAAACTGCGCGCGACTGCTCATTGCTTGCTTGTGACGGACAGTAGACTGTAAAAGACAGTAATCAGTTTTGAGCGCCACATTTATAATAAATATGGAAGAGATTCACACTGTGCTGCAGTTGTTTGAGATGTATTGGTTTACTAACCAGGTAATTAACAAAACGGCAGAAAAGAGACGAGCACTGATACTAAAGCGTGTTCAGAAAGCTCGTAATGCTAACGTTAGATCTAAAATTAGACAGCGTATGTTATCAGCTATTGCGGACATTGACCGTGAGAAGGCTGGGACGAACGCGCAGAAAATTTCTCTTCCGCAAATACGCTTAATAAAGCCTGAATCTCGTCGTCGGTCCAGCTGCCTTTTTTATTTTTATTAAATTCCATATTTGCAGACAGACAACTCTTACTGCATGGAACTTCATTACTGCATGAAGCCACGAACTGCAATAGATTCTAAAAATTCCGGTTAAAATAAAATGCTGCGCGGAGTTATCCAATCATAATGCGGCGTGAACACAACCAATCAGCATGTTCACCGCACAAGCCCCACCCGCGAAAGTTCCTGAACTTTGAAAAAGTACTACCTCGCGAGCAGGGACTTTCGGAGGGGGAAATATCTACCCGGAACTTCATTTAGACCCTGGTTCCTGCGGTGTAAACACACCGAGTACCAGGCCAAAGTTCCTAGTTCCTGGGTAAAGTTCCTGCGGTGGAAACGCGGCTAATATTATCATCTTTATGCTAGAGATTTTTACTTTAAAGTACATTGACCTCATTAGTTAAAAGGTAATAGACTTTGTACCCAAAGCATCTGAAACATCTTCAAGACATCTCTTACTCAAAGGCAGTTTTTGATTGAAGGAACTGATTTTGATGAGTGTACAGCATCATCTGGTGGATAGATTGAGTACAGCCTCTAAAGCAGGTAAATACAATACTTATTGTCTGTCAAAATGATAGAAATCACTTGAAAATATTATCACTAAATGTTCAATCCAATGTCAGCTTCACTTCCTGTCTCCTGAGATACCTTTAAGTTTTCGGACGCAGCCCTTATTCAGAGCAGCACCATGACAGGTGTGAAAGTGAGGCTGTGAGTCTGAACTTAAGCAGGTGAAGCTGCCAGAATTCTGAGCAGAACCAGAAAAAATGAACATATCACACCAGTCCTCAGGTCATTACATTGGCTTCCAGTTACATTTAAGATTAAGTATTAACACTGGTATATAAATACCCCAATGGCCTAAGACCTCAATACATTGCACATATTTTCACTGAATTATAAACAGATCACTCAGATGATCAGGGTCACGTCAGCTAGAAATACCTAGGATTCACTCAAAGCAAGGTTAGCTATTATGCCAGCCACAGCTGGATCCAGCTTTCAGAAGAGATCAGATGTGTCTTTTTATAGTTCTAATGTTGAACAGGTCATTTCAGCAACACAATCACTGTTAGCAAGACATTATGGGCCCTATCTTGCACCCAGCGCAAATGACTTTGTACACTGACGCATGTATCATTCCTATTTTGCACCCGCGCAAAGCGGACTTTTCCCTCCACAGACACACGTCGGTTAACTTAGAAATACACTTGCGCTCCCCGGGGCGGTTCAGCGCAAAGAGGAGGCGTGTTCCGGCGCAAACTTTCCCTCATGCTATTTTGCTGTTCTATAAAACAATTGCGCCACTGACCAGAAAAAACCTAGTCTAAAGTCAGTGGCGCGTTGCGCGTTGTTCATTATGCTATTTTAAGGGCGCAATGGCGCATGCTTGGCCATAATCAATGTAGCGTGTGCACAACGCTTTGATTCTCTCATCTAAGCAGCAGTTTTCATTTTTGCAAATCATACATTATTACGATAGATAGATAGATAGATAGATAGATAGATAGATAGATAGATAGACAATTTATTATAAAAGCATACATGTAGCTTACAGATTTACCCCAATTATCATACGCCTGTTTAACAGAAGTTAATTTGCGTGGGTTTCTCCATCCCCAATGTCACTTCTCTGTGTTTTACGGCCCTGACGAGAACGTTGCTCTCCTCGGCTGTGAACCGCTCCTGGCGCGCGCCTGGCAAATCCGCCGTTATAATAGGAATCCGCTTTAGAACAAGCGCGCCTGCTCTTAAAGGGAATGTGAGATGACGCTCTGATTGGTTAATTTCACGTTACGCCCAAACCACACCTAAGAATAATGAAGCTGCTTCAGTCTAACCCCTTTTAGATTTGCGCCAGGCGCAAGAGGCATTTATCCCGCCGGGAAAATAGCAACAGCGCCGGGATCCGCCCACAAAGTTACTTGCGCTTTGCGCTTTGACACTTGCGTTTCAGATCGTTAAAATAGGGCCCTATGTGTCAATATACAGCATATTCTTGTGCAAAAGTGAGCTTTTAAACACCACAAATTTCAAATCCATGCATTTAAATAACCATCCCAAATGTGTTCACTGAAGTTCATGTCTGAAATTTGTACAGGCCAGTCCAATAAATCACTTCTATCTCTTCTACATGTGTGCACTTTGTGTGATTTTCATGCATGATTTTCTGCATCTGTGAGTGAAGCTTAAATAAGCAGATTAGAAGGTGAAGTCTTCATCCTTCTTTTAGCCGTTTGCACAGTAAGACAATGTAGAATTAAAGAAGCTGTCAAATCCATGCACATACATAAAATAACACACACAATCACTGGATTTTTAACCTTATTCCCAGTTTTATTTATTTTTTTGGTACAACATTTTACAATATTACTTTTTAAGGCTCAATATTTAATCAAACAAATGCAGCCTTGGTGAACATAAGAATATAAGAAGAAAATAAAAACATAAGATGAAGAATAAAACATCCACCCCAAACCAGAAACTTTTAAATGATAGTGTATGCTATTTTGCAATCAATTTAAGCTGTAAGTCTGAAACAAGAAACTAGTATAAAAGGTCATCAGAATTACTCTGATCATTTGCCCGAGCCTCAGCTGGATGTTTTCTTGAACAAGGTTTGAACAGCTTGTAGGGTGTTCATTCTTGCAGAAATTCACTGAGGTGACAGTGAACAATTTCCTACAGAAAAGAAAGAAAGAAAAATGAACAGAAACCAATTTTGAAAAAGTACAACATTAATGGATCTTGTGAATATATACGTGATCATACCCTGCTATATTAAAATAATAACTTAAGTTCTTATTGTAAAAAGTTTTGGAATTGTTAATACCATGTTCCCAAACTGGCAGGGACAGGGTCCATCAGGATTTGCTTCAAGATGTTTAGATTGTTTAGTACTTATCAACTTGTCGAATGTTGATTTAGTAAAGTCAACCTGTGAATATAAAGACAAATACACACATTTGTCATGTTTACTTTGTGGCTGTAATTAGATCAGAATGTTAACCAAATGCAAAAACACATACCGTGCTAAGGTGCTTCAACCAAGCACTTGAGAATTGATCAGAGAGGTAGACATCCATTTCCTTATTGTAATTAGATGGACAGAGTTGGACACTTGCGTGACATGAAGCCAACGCATAGACTGTGTGACAGATTCAGAACAATTCAGTTCAGATTTTTTTTGAAAAATAGATTATGGACACACAACTTTCAAATAAAAACTAGTGTGAGTCTGGTCAAATAAGGCAGGACCATTAGTTGTGGTTTTCATATAGCATCTTACCGTCTACACCCTTGGGAAAGTCTGTGAACATCGTTGCAGAGTAATCGCTCTCCATGAATATCACCATCTGCAGCACATACACATGATGAGGAAATAGTGAGATATTTAAAAATACAGCCGACTCATTCCCTTTACTTAAGCGCTTTTATATCACTACAGGTTGCTGTTGCCCCTTTCAAAAGCGTTGCAGTAGCAGTTGTGAAAGTAGAAGCCTGTGACTGTAGGGTAAGATGGACCTGCTAGAAATAGAAGAGGAAAAAGAATCGCAAGGTCTGAATTTAAGATTGAGATTTGTTAAGTAAGGAATTTGTCACATTTGGCAGGATTTTCTTTTAAATGATTAAACAGAATCTCTCTCTCTCTCTCTCTCTCTCTCTCTCTCTCTCTCTCTCTCTCTCTCTCTCTCTCTCTCTCTCTCTCTCTCTCTCTCTCTCTCTCTCTCTCTCTCTCTCTCTCTCGCTCATATATATATATATATATATATATATACACAAACACACTGCAGTTTGTTGTGAACTATTTTCTTCTAAAGTGTAGAAAAGTCAGAAGCGCAGACCAGGAGACGTTGAGGTATCTTTTCAAGCCGAAGTTCTTTATTGCGTCGCTGCAGCATCTCAATCTCATCTAACTAAGGGAAACGTTCCCTTGCAATTTATACATTTAGGGGCAGGACTTAACATTGTGATGGAGCAAACTCGTATACAGGTTTAGGAAACATGTATTAAACTGAGAGTGATAACTTATTCAAACACTGAGACTCAAGAACAGGAATGCCAGGACTCTCTCTTGCTGAGACAAAAGCTCACGATAGTCCCCAAGAGTTTCAGTAATATGTTTCATTTAACTTACAATAGAAAGAAACACGTCTGGCGGCTGAATAGAGAGAAACAGAACAGGACAGGAATCTCGTGCTCAACAGGTGAATGCTAAATTCAATCTACAGAACTTTCTTAGTTTATATACTATGGTATTGGAATCTAAATTAAACATTTTAATAAATTTGTAACACCACAAGTTCAAAAGTTTTGGATCGGTAAGATTTTTAATGTTTTCAAAGAAGTCTCTTCTGCTCAACAAGGCTGCATTTATTTGATTAAGAATAAAAAAACAGTAATATTGTTATGTGACAATTTAAAATAACTGTTTTCTATTTTAATATATTTTTAAATGTAATTTATTCATGTGATCAAAGCTGAATTTTCAGCATCATTACTCCAGTGTCACCTGATCCTTAAGAAAACATTCTAATTTGCGGATTTGATGCTCAAAAACATTTATTATTATTATCAATGTTGAAAACCGTTGTGTACATTTTAGGATTCTTTGATTAATAGAAAGTTCAAAATAACAGCATTAACTTATTAACTTTTGATCAATTTAATTCATCCTTGATGAAGTATTGATTTCTTTTATTTATTTTCCCCCAAACAATAAAAAAAATTAAATTCATACTGACCCCAAAATTTTGAACGGTAGTGTTTAATGTTTAAAGCTTTCTATTTCAGAGAAATGCTGTTCTTTTGAATTTTCTATTCATCAACGAATCCTGAAATAAAAATGTAAATAACTGTTTTCAACACTGAAGATGCGAAATGTTTCTTGAGCATTAAATCATCAGTTTTTATCACAGGAATAAATTACACTTTACTATATATTCACATAAAAACAGCTGTTTTAAATTGTAATAATATTTTTAAATGTTTTTTTGTATTTATAATCAAATAAATGCAGCCTTGGTGAGCAGAAGAGACTTCTTTAAAAACATTAAACATCTTATAGATAAAAAACTTTTGAATGGCAGTGTATATATACTATAATACATACAAATTATGTGAACATTACTGAATACATACCTTTGAAAATTTTTTGCCCTCTTGCATGCTCTTGAGCGTGTCCATGAAAGCATCAGGAGAAAGCTGTCATAAAACATACTGAATTAATGGTCTAGAAGTCAGCAAGTTGTCAGATTAAACACAACAGTTCTGTCCTTATCCCTGTAATTACATAGTAAATTCTAAAATAATTTTTTAAGATGATCGTTTATAACCATTAAAAGAAAATAAATAAATAAATAATAAATGTTTATTTGTCAAATGTATTATAAATGAGTGATGCTAGTTTTTGGTTTTTACTATATAGATTAGTATTGTTATTATATTTTCTCATGTTCAGAAAAATGATTACTTAACATTCCGTCCCATTTATTGCTTTGCTGCGAAATTTTGTGGGCAGAATTTCTTTCCCATAGGAATCCGTGCGATTGGGAGTTTTGCATGAGGGTGAAAATGTTCCCCATAGATTTTGCTCATATTCAAGTCAGTAGACAGAAAACTGCTTGGTTTAAAAGTGAGTTATCTGAGAGCTGTGAGCTTTATACATCGCTACACTCTTGAGATAGAGAATTGGCATTTTTATATCATAATATTTTGGCTCATCATTATAAATATACCGTATATCTTATCCATTCTGATAATCTCTTGAATCTTTTTATACTTACTGCTTTCTGAAGAAACTTAAACGCGCCTTCATGTTGCGAACCTTCTTTTCCCAAACCGGACATGTAGACGTATATGTTGTCATCGGGTCCACTGCATTAAATGAAAATAATAATGGTACTTCATTTTAGCTGCAAATTCACATGAGCTGCAAGCAGCAATTACAGAGCCAATCACTGAAGCCGCAGATCCGTTACAGTTATTTCATTGTACATAGCATCCCTGGTGATAACTGTAGGCAAAGTGGTTTCCAAAATCCAAAAGCGTGATACAATTGCTTTTTGACCAGTTGGTGGTGCGGTCACCTAATTCACAGAAAATTGTGTATTTTTTAGTATGTGATTTCAGATTCAAAGTTATAACTCTAAGCTCCTGTGCTGCTTCCTCACATTCAGTGGTTGGCCCTTAATTAACTGCACAAAAGTGATGATATATTAATAATAATAATAAAACATTACATGACATATTGATATCATTGAAAGATATCTTCTTTACTGACAAACAAACCTGTCAATGACTTTTTTGCCCGTGCTCTTATCCCCTCGAAGAGCAGCCAGGAAGTTATCTGGGGTCAGATGCTATAAGATCATATTTGTCATAATTAATCATTATTGTTGAAAGTTATAATTGTGCTCAGATATGGAATAAAAACATCAAAACAAAACTTTTTACCATGTCAAAACAAAACAAATATTACCTTTCCAGTGTAGTCCTTTGGAACGCCTAGGTACACGTTTGAATCATCAACTACACTGATAATTTGTCCATTTTCTGGGTTTCTGCAGTGAAGAAAAGTTCAGTGTTTAAACGCAGTCAGCTCCAACAATCTTATCGACACTTTTCTATGATGACGTGTTTCTAGAATTATTAAATCTTGCAAAGTTTGCTAGCAAATGCTGTTATGAGGGTGTTTGTAATGCATGTCTGAGGAAATGACGGTCGATTTTACATCTTTCTTGTGTCCCCTTTTGCTATTGTGGCGAATGCAGAAAATCATTTACTGTTGTCCTCCAGTCATCCCTCTGTGACAACCCTGTTTTGCTTTTGAAAACCCCGTTACACTGTTGTTCCCGCACTGCTAATTATGTTTAGCACAGAAGATTGAGATCAACTAAACACATGATAATCAAAAGCTTTGGGAAATTACTCACTTTGAATTGTAAGCGATGTCATCATACATCATCACCACAATCTGCTCATCAGGAATTCCATGTTTCTTAATTATCTGATATAAACCGCACACATTGGCCTGAAACGCAAATGATAAAGGTGATTTCAGTTACTCTCATCATTTATAAACTGAGGCACAGAACACCTTGGGGAATTTATTAGCAATATGTCTTAAAAAACGAGAAAAAAAACAAAACAAACAAACACAAACCTGGTGTCTGTAATTTTCCCAGTCCTTTGAGCCGGCGACAAGGAGAATCCATTTTCTTCCAGTCATTTCTTGAGTCTTTTCAAAGCAAAGTCTATTGGAATCCAAAATAATGATAATACTAACAATTTAAAACTAAATTAACATTGTTCTAATGCTTTTAATTGGCTAACATGATTATCGAATCATGTTTTTATCAATTGTTATGTGTGTATTATGTGTTTTATGTGTTTAATGTGGTTGTAGAATGTTGTTGAAGCCAGTATCAAAGATGAATTTCTGTCCAGTAAATCTGAACAGACAATAAAGTTAAAACAAACAAAACAAACAATAACATAATTTTTTTAACGCCTCATACATTTATGATGCGTTTGAAGAAACACAGAAAAGAACACAAGTATTTGATATGTTATAAAGTTTAGGATGATGATATAACAAGAGTTCAGGTTTTAAACTTAAGTGTTGCTTTCTATTCATGAAGTGCTGAAATGTAAATCACTCGTCATGATGTTAAAAATACTGGTCAGAAATGTTTCTATTTTACCCAATTATCTACAGAATTAAATACAGTTGCTAAAAGTGTTTAGTGATTTAGATTATGTAGATGATTGGATCATATGCCATCATACCTGTGTTGAGTATCAGGTGTTCCTGTGTGCCTGTCCTGTAGATTTCTGGTGCTTTTAGTCAGACAGCCTCTGTCTTTATATAGGCAGTTTATCCCTTTCATTTGAGACTCATGGGCGGAGAGTTTGTGCTGGTGGGCGTGTGGATTTCATATTTTGCAATAATTTTCATATTCACTTTAATTGATGGCAGTTGGTGACTTTGTGAACCATCTTATAAACCGAGATTTGAATTAGAATTAAGTTGATTTGGTTTTAAAGGTGGGACACCTGTTACATTACAGTTACATACAAGTAATCAAATTGGAAATATGAAGCTCATCCACAGGTTTTCTCTTTTTTTAAATTATTGAATTATTATTATTTATTGAATGTCATTTGCGCGAGTTGCTTCAGTAAAGTTTTGTCAGAAAAGGAAAATACAAACAGCCACAGATTGATTCCACAGAATCACAAGTTTTACATTTTTTTTACATATTTTTTTATAACTCAGTTACTTTAAAGAAAAAAAACCTGTCCAGATGAAATATTTTTTTAAATATGCAAAACACTTTTGTAATTTTGTAATGATTTTGTAATGACTTAAGGACTTTAAATAATGCCTTAATGATTTTTACTTGCAAAATTGATAATATCAGAGAAAATGATAACCATGCAAACATCTACTACAGTATTGCTTCAGACATTGTGCAATATACCCTGAGGGACATTTCATTCTTTATTCTTTTCATTCTTTTCTATAGGAGAGGAATGATTGTCAAAGTTTGTTAAATTATCAAAATCAACATGTTTGCTAGACCGACTAAGCTACTGAAAGAGATGCTTCCAGAAGTCATAAATTCACTCATTGTCATTAGGATATGTCCCAAAAACTTTCAAGCTACTGTTAAGCCTCTCAATATAAACAACACAACTTTACCCTAGAAAATTAGTCCGATCTCAAATCTCCCTTTTCAGTCCAAAATACTAGAAAATAAATTGTGTTTGTGAGATTTCCAGTCAGAATTTAGACTGTATCATCGACTTCAGTTCAATGACATTAAAGGTATGTTTTGACTTTCTCATGAAACAGAAAAGATTAAGGCATGAATGGTGTCACATGAAAGTGTCAGATGAAAGATAAAATCCTGTCCCACACAAATTCATGACGAATGAATCGCTTTTTTCAATTAGTTTTTTTCGTCAAAATCTTACCTTGTTTCTTTGGTGAATGGAATGCATTCTATGATTGTAAATGTGTGTGTGTGTGTGTGTGTGTGTGTACCTACATTGTGAGGACCAAATGTTCCTAATGCAAGGCATTTTTGACCTTGTGGGGACTTTGTTGGGGGTCCCCATGAGGAAAACAGCTTATAAATCATACTAAGACTTTTTTGAAAATTCAAAAATGCAGAAGGTTTCCTGTGATGGGTAAGTTTAGGGGTTGGGGATAAAAATAGTTTGTACAGTATAACAGTCATTTTGTCTATGGAATAGAGGGTAACACTTTATATAAGTACTTACAAATAATCATACAAACTATTTAGTTTATTGTTAATTCATAATATATATATATATATATAGTTATATATATATAACTGTAATTAACCAATTAATTAGCTCTTATGTAGAATTAGATGTTTTTTTATGCTTTAACTAATTATCCATTAATAGTTATAGGTACTTGATATAATCTAATGTTTACAGCTGAACTTATTTCCCCCATACTTACATTTATGTATCCTACATTTAGCTAATAGAAGTAGCAAATTAATGAAATAATATTTCTTATAAGACATGCCATGGGGAAAGAACAAATAAAGCATTTCCATTTTTCAACAGTTGAAAGCTGGGCATGATGTAATCCTTAATAAAAAAAAAAAATCAGACCAAAACCAAAATAAGTTTCAACATGTAAACCACAAAATATATCAATTTCACAATGAAATCTGTTTAGAAGATAGTATTGCAATATTAATATGTTTAAATGAGTTAAAAGAAATAGTTTTTTTAATTAAATATTTATGAATTAACCATTTATTAATATTTAATTAAATATTTATTTCCACATTTAATTTCAAATCAGACAATCAGTCATTCTAAAATACCATTATAGAATAATCCAATATATTAGTGCTGGAGACGATGGGCCCTATCACACACCCAGCACAATGCGGCGCCAGACATGTGTGTTTTGCTATGGGCTGCTGGTCTGAGAACGAGGTGTGTTCAGGCACATTGTTGGCATGCTGCTATTTTGAGGAACTGAAATAGACTGCGCCATTGACCAACTGTCACCTGGTCTAAAGTCAATGGTGCAGTATTTATTTATTTTTTGTTATTTAAAGGGAACATTAGTAATATCCAGTGAATGTAGAGAAAGCCGAGACATCTAGATATTTTTATGAACCATTTTAACCCAGACGGGGCAGCATTCATAACTACAGCATAATCTTTAGGAGTGACTGGAATATTATATTACGTGAGAAATACAGAGCAGGTCAACATCAAGTTCATCATGCTTAAAAATTTCACTCATCAAAATATATCACTACAAAAGCAATTCTCAAAAAAATTACAGTTTATACAAAATATACCTATTAATCCAGATAAAACACCTGTTTGTTGTAGTTTATAGATTAAATTCCAAAACGAGCAAGAAGTTGGCTGGCCGCACACTGAATTCAGTACAGACTACAGAGGTCTATCAAAACATTTTTTTTTTTTTTTGCATAGTGCAAAAATTGCAAAGTGAATTAAAAACAAATGAACAGCAAACGTTTCAGCACATTGCTATCTTCAGTGCTCACTCTGCAACAAACATTCACCCTTTTGTTGGTAAATTAGCATTTAGAGGTCATCAGCTGAAATTATCACAAGTACAGCTCTCCAAGAGAGTCTGATAATAGGCATGCATGACAAAATATTACTGGTATTCAATTATAGCAACAACAAAAAATGAGTATAAAAACAATGCATATAAGAAAAAAAAACCCCACAGAGGAATAAAAAATAAATTAATATATTAAATTCCAAGAAAGAAGCGTCTGTTTTTCTGGGGGAGGAAAAATACATTTCCTTTGCTTCTATTTTTATTAATTTTAATAAATTTGACCTTTATTCAGCTGCTCTATGCGAAATTATAATATGAAAATGAAACAATTAATTTAAAGGAAGTCCAGATATAATATTTTCAAAATAACCAAATTAACGCTTGATTTTGTGTATATTACTAGGTCAAATTTAAACATTTGAAACTAGTGTTTTTGATATTTTCTGTAGAGTTTTTTTAATGGAACAAAAAAATTACTACCAATGTGAAAAAAACGGCAAAAGAAAAACAAATCTTACAAAATGCATCAACATAAATAAGGATATAACTAAATGACGTTGATTCAGTGACATTATGTACCTACTTCTTTTTTGTTGTTGTTGCTGTACTCATATTTGTTTCATATACTGATTTTCTATAGATTTAAAATATTAGACAAGACAATTCCTGTCTTTTAATAAAAAAATCAGTAATGGCAACATACATGTTTCAAAAGAAAATACCAGTGTCACATGCAGCAGTGACGGATTAATCACTTTCTTCAGAAATCCCATTGTCTTCAGAAACGTAATTTCATTTGGTGATTTCTCAAGATTATGTGGAAATGGAATGCAAATGTTGGAGTCAGAGGTGTGCGAACATGCAGGCAAGACAAAGATCACTTGAGCAACACAGACATGTAACTGTAAATTATATGTATGCGACACATAGAAATAATATGCTTGCCAAAGGCAAAGGCAAGGC